ATTTGACATAGTCTTAAATACAACTAAACTCAATTGTTTTTTCTAATAAATATTTTGAGTTAAGCTGAATTGTTAGAGATACATTATTATGCTTGAGTCATAGAATTTAGAGATGGAAGAGATGTTTTACAAATCATGCTGTTAGGAAACTGGGGTGGGGAGGGGAACAGCAAGTAAAGGACTTTCCCCAAGGACATACAGGTAGCAAGTAAGAGGGCTGAGATTTAAACCTGTGTTCTCTGACTCCAAATTAAATGTTCATTCCTTTAGACATTAATTATCTTTAGTATAGATTCTTGACAATTTGGCATTAGCAAATATAGAAGATGGAGGGGGTGGGAGCTTCCTTTCCTGTTCTATGCATTTTTGTAATCAGAATAAGGAGAGTTAGATGGAGACCCACCCCTCCCCCCAAAAAAAAACAAAACCAGGGATAATTGTTGGGGCCAGATCCTAAAGGTAGAAGTAGCATTAAATCAAGAGCACAGGTGGAGATATTATCTTAAAAGAGTTGAAAAGAGTAAGAATAAAGGATGGTGGTGCAGGAGGGCAGACCCCAATAGGAACTGGGGCCATTTGCCTGCAGAGGCAGCACATTGTGTTTTTATTCATTTTGTTAAGTGTTTCCCAATTACATTTTAATCTGGTTCTGTGCCACTCGGAGTATTGTGGCTGCATGTAGTTGAACCCTCTTCTCTAGCAGAATAGGGGGGAGAGTACAAATATATAAATAGCAGGGGGCCCCCTCTTCCCATTAAATTAGAAGGATTTTAGGTTACCCACCAATTCATGAAGATGCTAGAAGAGTAAGGATTCAAAAATACTCTGACAGATTAGGACAAGCTCAATAAGGTAAAATATGTAATAACCCTACTTAAGTTTAAAAAAAAAAACCAATGCTTTAGTTGCAGAAGAATTGTTACTGGGCAATAGTTAATAAAAAGTCTTTTTTTTTTTTTTTAAATAAATTCTTTATAGAACTATTCAGAGCATTAGAGGCTTTCTTTACTCTTATTCCTATAGCTTCTCTGACCTAATAAAAAGATTGGGATTTTTTTCTTCATTCTTTTACTGTGGCTAGCCCATCTTCTTTTCCAGTTACATAAATATATATATCTCTTTAACTGTATTTTACGGCACTTTTTCATGAATCACTGTTAGTAACAGCCAGATTATGCCCATCGTTTGTCTTTCCCTTGCCATTTAGCTTATTTGTAAATTTAGTTCTTCGGTTAATTCATGGTCAAATGGCAACACTGGGAAGGATGTTATGAGTGGTATGCTTTTGCAGTGGTTTGGGATCATTGAAAACACTAACTTTTCAAATATAATAACAGCTTTTTAAGAGCCTCACCTGACTGGTTTTTTTTTAAACACTATTTGTGTAGGTTTGTGCCATTTTATTTTTGGTTTTTATATGATGTGTCCCTCTCTTTTTTTGTTGTATATGTTCTTTAAAATCCCAAGCTCATTATACAACCACTCAGATTTCCTTAAATACCTTTTCCTTTTTATTCCTCATGACTATTAGCAGAAAGTTGGGGTTAAATTATAGATAGTAGTACCCTTTATCCTACCTGGATTTTTCTTCTTCCCTTTTGAGAGAGACAGTACCTTCTATAAACCTAGACTGTCTGTTGTGTATATAATACCTCATGAATAAGGAAACTAAGGCAGACAGAATTTAAGTGACTTGACCAGAGTCAAACAAGAATAAAGTATCTGAGACAGGATTAAAACCCAGGTCTTGCTCATTCTAGGTGCAGTGCTTCATCCACAAGGCCATGCTACCTTTTCTTCTGAGACTTTCTAAGTATTTCTATGGTTCTTCTTTCCAAATTGTAGCTAATATCTTTCATGGGATTCATTTTTCCCTAGAAATTGAACTCAGTTCCCTAAATATCTTTAAAAACAAGATATTTCTCAAAGAAACTTGTGCAAAGATTTCCTTCCTCCCCCTACCCCATTTTTCTACTTCCAATTTTAGCTTCTTTGGTTTTGTTTATGCTAAAACTTTTAATCTTATGTAATCAGAATGGTCCTCATTTACGTCCAGTGAGCCTATCTTTTGTTGTCACACACTTTTCTCCTGTCCATAGATGTGACTGGTAATTTCTTCCATGCTCCTTTAATTTATTTATATTACCTTTTATGTCTTTTAAATAGAAAAGTTCTTTGTGGCCATCAAATATTCTACTGTTCCTACTGCAGTCTATTTTATATATAATTATCATTGTTATCATTTATTAACAGGTACTATGATTTGAGAGATCATCTTGTTTTTTACAACTGTGTGACAATCCAATTCTTGATCTGTTATACCACACTGCCTCTACTTTTCAGGAAATAATGTTTCAACAATTAGAATTCATAACATAATCCATGAACTAGTTAAGTTTTCCTTTTCCAAGGGAAGATGCCCTTTATCAGGCAGTTTTAAAAATTCATTGTTTTAAACTCAGTAAATAAATGATGTAAAACATTACTGAACACCTATTCTTTGTACTGTTTACTAAGGGTTTTGAAGAATTTAACAGAATGAGAAAACATGCCCTTTTTTGAGTAGCTCTAATCTACTTGAAAGAGATAAAACAAATATGAATTAGCCTGAACAAACCAAAGTATTAAGTAAAAAATAATATAGTACACATTGAATATATAAGTTGTGAAGAAAAGGGGATCATAGTAGGACTGACCTGGAGGGACTTTACTAGAAGTTTATTCTTTAACACAGACAGTAAGCAATATGGATCTCCCAAGTTTAAAGTATAGTAATTGACCTCTAGATTGAAAATAGTTGTCTTTAAACTGAATGGCATTTTAGGTCATCACTTTAAATTTTGTGGAAAACCTATGTAAATCAAAAAATCCTCCAAAATATTGAAGGTATGTTCAAGTATTGTAAGGGCTGTCACTTGGGAGAATTAAATTTAGAATCATCGGTCTGCAACTCAGGTTATCTTGTCCAGCTCCCTTATTTTTTCAGATGAAATTGAAGTCCAGGGAGGTGGTTTGCCTAGGGTCATTGGAAACAGTAAAATTACAAGTTGCAAATAGGTAACTTAATGACATAATGAAAATTATTGATGTAATGAAAAAATCCTAACAATTAGAACTAACTGAAGTGAAAGTCTTTGGACAAAGACTAATGGACCTGTAGAGAGGAAATGGGCTTGCTTCAAGTATATGTTGAACTTAATGGTCACAGAGGTTCTTCATGACTCTTTCCCAGTTAAGAAAGAGTCAGGGCTAAATCTGAGGAACTTCAAAGAGTAAATAGCTTTGGCAGCAGATTCATTGGTCCAGATTCCTCTCGGCAATATTTTTATTTTCCTTTCCTTTCCTTTTTCTCTAACCGCTGTCTCCTTTTTTTTTCTTTTAACGTATCTCTTGATAATAAACTCCTGTTAATATATTTTGTGGAGAGGAGACATTGAGACCCAGGAGAGTTAGCCTTTAAATAACATAGGTACCATAGGACGTTAGAGCTATAAGAAACCTTAGACATCTAATCCACACCCCTCATTTTCAGATAAGAAAATGAGGCACAGAGAGTAATGACCAATTCATAGCTACACAGAAGACTTGTGGCAAAACCAGGACTATGCCCCAGGACTCCTAACTCTTGGGCCAGTATTCACTTAAACCAAATGTGGTCAACATCGTTACGTATTTTTAGGTACAACTCCCACATACACGCCCACCTTTTTTTCTTTTCAATGAAACAAATTTCATTAATAAGACAGGTTTGTTTCAGATTGGTTATTTAATGCTGTATGCATAAATTATCAGATCATCTCATGGAAATTAAAATGACTATTTATATATATTCTATTTCTCCTCCAAAAAAAAGAAAAAGAACCTCCGACTTTTTTTTTTTAATGGAAATCACTCAAGACAAATTACAATCATTTTGAGTATAAAAGCTCTATGTTTGCTGTTTAGCAGCAGATAGCATGAAATCTAATGAGTTGAAATGACATAGACAAGATCATTTTTCCAGATGTTAAATAAGCAAAACCAACCTTTTTTTAAAACCATGTCTGATACTAAAAGGTTTGCTTCTGTCATGTAAGATGCTTGCTTACAAAATTGTTCAGTGTAAAAAAGCCTTATTAAAATATTGGTGCTATCTGCAATTGTTAACATGATAGAAATGATATTTGGAGAATAATATGTGAAACAGTTGTAAGTGGTTCTGTAAGTCTGAAGACCTTTTTTGATGAATTAATGGAATAACCAAAATCTTTGTATTGCAAGTAAATAAAGCTACAGATACATGCTTACTTGATTACAGGTATTAGCCAAATACTGTACTTGTTCCATACATGTAGTGAATATCCCAAGTTTTTTCATCCTTGTCTATCAAAACCAGCACATTGTTGTAAGGAGGACTTTATATAAGAAAAAGTTAAGGTCTGCCTAATTATTTTGGTTCTAGGTCAAATGTTACCCCATTTTACCAATGTACAGTGGCATATAATACCCTATGTCTTAGGTCATCAATTTAAGATTCCTGTGAGATGATTTTCTGTGATAATTTCATTTTCCTATTTTAGTTGGTAATACAAAAAGTATAGTGGTGATTTGCATGTGCAACTTTGATTCTTTTCCTCATATAACCCAACTTCACTGAGTATCCCAATCAAGACTTTGCTAACATTTAAGTCAAGAATACTTTTGTGCATTTGAGGGGGCAGGTGTTTGTTTAAAACCTGAGAGCTATATGACAGGAGACCAAAAATAGGCTTATTCACTGGATTTGTTTTTTGTAATAGAATAGGTTCTTTCGGTTAATCTTCCACAGGGGCCCAAAGTTGATTACCTTTATTGCCACAGAAAAGGTGTTTTTTTTTTTTCAAATTCTGAGGTCATGGCGTAGTTGAAGTTCATGTTCTTTGTCTTGAATAAAGAACCTAATTAAAATTATTACAAAGTACATATGAATAGCGAGTTACTATTTGTTTATGCTTTTAAACGGTGGATTTTTTGGATTTTAGATACTGAAGTATTGACTTCAATCTTCCACCATGCGTGAATACAAGCTAGTTGTTCTTGGCTCAGGAGGTGTTGGAAAGTCTGCCCTGGTGAGTAGTTCTGTTTGTTGGAACAAAAAGTTTAGGATTAGAATATTGTCTTTTTATGTTTGTTTTTACTTAATGTTATATTTTAAAGCTTCTAATTGTTTACTATTCAGTTGTGGTCAGATCAAGTTTTTGACTAAAACCAGAAAATGAATAGCATTCATATTTCTCTGAATTCTTTTTCTGTTGTAAGCAAATTTTTATTATATGTGAGTATATGATCTGTGTATTGTCTGAAGCCTTCAATTTCTCCTTAATTAAGCTTCAAGTTGCTGACAGTAGGATTAAGAAAGTTTGGAGTTGAAGTGTGTTTTACCTTTTCATTTGTGAATAATTTTTTTAAATATTTGCATATGCTTCACATATTTTTACCCTCATGCTTTTGTTATACTCAAAAGCAAGCTTTTCATCAAGATAACATAGATTTTGGAAAACCAAGGGGTCCAAAAATAAATGCCTGGATATTTAATTTTATCATTAGTGATGGGAAGTGGAGGGACAATTTCTCATAGTAAATTTACTTAAACTTAATGCATTAAAATTTAAATTAAACAAGAGGGAAAAGAATAGGATCCTTGACCATCTAATGTTATATAAACCTTTACCCTCGGAACCATACAAATTGTTCTGATGTCCCCAATGCTGGTGGAAAAAAGTCAAATTGTTAGTGAGTGCATTATAGGTCTATTTTTTTGTCTGTTAACTGTTGGAAGTCTAAAAATTAATTGATGTTGTAAAAAAAAAAAAGGTTACATATATAGCATTCTTCTTATTTAAATAAAACAGAAAGATTCTAACACAAATCACTTAGGGTCATAAGTTTAGACAACCCCTCCCCACATCATACAGATAATGGAAACTGGGGTTGAGAGAGGTTGTGACTTTCCCTCTGCCACTTCGTGGATGAGTTTCAGAGCCTTCATTCAAACCCAGGTGCTCTAAGTCTGAATGCAGTGTTCCATATTGCATCACGTTGTCTGTCCAAATCTGTTTCCTGACTTTGCAGTTAAGTACTACATATTATCTATGTGCCCATTGAACGCTGTGGTATTGACTAAGAAAAAAAAAATTTAAGTGAAGGTAACTTCACTCCTAGAAATTGCTTTTCTCTACCTCTGAGCTTCCCTGCTATCCTCCCTTTTCCCCTCCCACAAAAAAAAAAAAAAAAAGCTCCCTACTTTGGAAAGCTGTTTTCCAGGTTCAGTGAAAAGAGCATTGGCTTCCAACATAAGGGAACCTTATGTTGAATCCCACCTATGCCACTTACTACCTCTGGATAAGTTTCTACCCAAATGCATTTCTCTGGGTTTTTTATTTCATAGATGCTAATGTCATACTTATCTCTTGCTATGTGACAGGATCGTCTCCTTTTTTTAACATACAGATCATAGATTATAACTTCTTTAACCCTCCTCTCCCCTGTCCTATAGTAGAATGCTCTTTTAGGACAGGAACTATCCATTTCTGTCTCTGCATCCTGTTTTCTTTGACAGATACTACATTCAACTATCTCATTAATTGAATTGATTGTTTTACAGACTGTACAGTTTGTTCAAGGAATATTTGTTGAAAAATATGATCCTACGATAGAAGATTCATATAGAAAGGTAGGAAGAAGTTACTGCTTTTGACAATTAAAAGGCCTTCACAAAATTTTTCAGAATAATTTTGCTTTATACCTCAAAGTTAATACCCAATTCCAGTTTTATGGTCAATGTTTACAAAGTAGACATGATGACTAGGTAAAGTTGATTTATGAAAGTTGATTGGATAAACAAAGAACATTCTTGATTACTGGTTCTCGCTGAATAAGACAAGTCTTTCTTTACTGGAATGGAATGTTTCTCTAGAAAAATTCATTTTATATTGAATGAAGTACAAGAAATCAATAAGGAAACTGTCACTTTCCAGTGTCTCTGTCCCTTTATATGCACAAAAAGGAGCTAATAAAGGTACATGTCCAAACTCTAAGGGAAAATGGAATTTCCACATGGACTACATAAACATCTAGAAGAAATGATTAAAGATTATTTTTTTTAATGAGAGAAAAGCTCTTAAAGAAAGATGGGAGAATAAGTAGATTAGAAGGGAAAGTGGTTAACTGTACCCAAGAATTGCACACTCTGAAAGCAAGGAACATTAGAATATCAGAATAGGGGGGGTGACAAGTGGATCTAAAATATCTGATAACAAAAACTGAATTCTTCCCCCCACCTTTGTACATTGCCTACCCTGCTCTCCAGTTGATTGTGTCCTTCCCCTGCCCACCTCCCACCCCCTGCAAAATTATTTTGAATTTCCTTAAATGTGTACATGTTGTCCTGTGTCCCTTTCACGTTTATGTATGTGCACAAACCCAGTAAAATGTAAGCTCCTTGAGGCAGGCATGGTTTCATTTTGGCCTAGGACATTGCTAGGTGATCAGTCACAAATCTTCACCAATTGTATAAACAGTCTGAGTTGTCAGTACAACCTGAAAAAAACAATATCACTGTTGTTAACAGGAATTGTTCAACACCCAGTTTAGCTATTTTATACAGCACCTGACACATAGGTGCTTAATGAATATTTGAAGGAATAAATAAGTCAAAGAAATGCTTAAAATCTACTCTTCCTTCCATAGCTGCTGCAGGACCCAAGGATACTTTCTAAGGAGAAAGGGGAAGAGTGGTAGCAGTAGGGTTCATTAGGTAGCTGCTGTTCACTGACTGCCTCCTTTTCTACCAATGATCTGCCTTTGGGATGAGAAGGGAAATGCTTAAATATCTTGCAAAGAAATAAAAGAATATGTAGGGGGTAACGGGGATAACAGCATGAGCAGAATTAGATCTGGGGTGGTGAACCTGCTTTAGTGATAGAGTGACTTTTAAAAATGGTTTTACATTTTTTACAGTTCCAGTATTTAGGGAGATTTTTCCTTCAAAGTAGCAATACTGCTCCATCAGAAACACTAATAATGGTTAACCTAACTTGGAGAGTAGGTCTTTAAATACATATGTTCTGCATAAATTAAACTGGCAAATGATGAGCTGTATAAAATAGCTAAGTGGTGTGTAATTCCTGCTGAAGGTAAATTGTGCTATTTTTTGTCTTTATGCTGTATTAACAACTCATTGTTTATAATTAGTGAAGATCTGGAATTTTGACCACCTAGCAACCGTCATCTTATGTCTCCCTCCCCATTGTTTTTAACTATTGTTTAATTACAAATTTCTAGACAGAGTTTTCTCATGCTCACCCTAGATAAAGAGCTCATAATATGAAAAGAGAGGAAATACTGTGTTTAATGTTATATTTTCCTTCCTTCCCTTCCCAGCCCCTAAAAAAAAATGCTCTAAATATGGTTCCTAAGTATTCTAAATGAAATGAGTAAACAAGACTTTTCACATACTTTTTTAAATTTAGCTGGTTTTCTGCTATTGGTTAACTTCCTGATTATATAGAAAAATACTGCAACACCTCTCACCCATCACTTTTAATCTCTTTTGTAGATGCTTATGTGTATATATTGTTTACTCTGATAGAATATAAGTTCTTTGAGGACAGGGACTCTTGGATTTGTTGTGGTATGCACATAATAAGTGCTCCATAAATGTTTGAGTGACTTTAAAAAAAAAAAAACAAAACTTTATCATCTGTACGGAAATAGTTTTAATAAAACTGGGTTTTATTTTTGCTTTTTTCCTTTGACAGCAAGTTGAAGTAGATGCTCAACAATGCATGCTCGAAATCTTGGACACTGCAGGAACGGTATGGGGTGTTTTTGTGATTTTTGTTGTTTGTTTTTTAATTTTGCCTACATTTCAAACAAATTCATTTTATCATTATTTGGGTGACATTTTTTTTGTGCACACCTGTGATTTCATCCGTGTTAAGACTCCTTGTGGAGAAATCCCCTTGATCAACTAGACTAAACTAGGCTTTTCTTTACCATTGTTTATGTTGCAATTTTTGTAGTCAGTTATTAAAATAGTCAAATTTCTTTAATCAGTAATCAGTGATGGCACTTTTGTTTTTTAAAAGTTTTATTGTTCCTGAATTTTTCCTCTTACATCTCTTATAGAGGCAACATGCAGTAATAGAAAGTGCATGTCAGAATTAAGTTCAAAATTACCTCTTACATTGGCCAAGATACTAGACCAAACCTTTTTTGTCACGGACCTGTTCAACAGTCAGGTCAGACCTGTGGACCCATTCTCAAAAGTGTATTTAAATGCATAAAAGACTTAAGATTATAAAGGAAACTAGTGGTATTGAAATAAATTTATCAAAACCTCAAAAAAGCCAGTTCACTGATCCCCTAGCTTTAGCACTTTGTGCCTCAGACTCTATGGCCCAGGACTTAATCTTCTAATTTGTAGATGGTTTTGATCTGCTTTGGAAACCAAAGTTTTCTATACTGAGATTTCCCTAAGTAGGAAATAATCACAGGTGCTTTGCATGTTCTTATGTATTTTCTTCATAGTATTTTGTAGTAATGGTAGGACATTCAGTATTAGAATGGAAAATTTATTTTTAAACAAGTCAAAAGAATCTTTGTATTTTTATTTAATAAGAGTACTTTTTACTAAAAGGGAAAGTACTTAGAACTAAGACTCATTGGACTTTGGGGTCCAAAGAGCTGAGTTTGAATCACAATTCTGCTAAGGAACTCTAAGGTCCCTATATTCCCTAGAACAATGATCCTGTTGGGAAGGGAAGTCTTGAGTGACTCATTTATCTTTATTGTTAAAAGTGAAAAAGTAATCAAGTTAGAAATTTGCTAGTATAGTTGGAAGCGTTAGATTGGGAAAGTACTGGATTTGGTATCAGTGATCCTGGTTATCTGTCCAATAGAGGAATAATACTCATAACATTTACCTCATCTGTGCCTTTGACAATCAAAGTACTTACCTAAATAGCCACCTAATGCTTCATTGATTGAAAAATTTTGCTTCTTTCACATAGACTTGTACTTTTCTCTAGGTGAAATGGTAAATGTGTTCTATGGGAGATGACTTAGTGTCTTAACAGTCCTTAGATATAGTTTTCCCTATACTTGGCACCTGGTAATTGTCAGATATTTAAATAGCATTATCAAGTTTCTTTACTCCTAAGGATGTTAAGTTACAGTTACAGTTAAAATATGCTTTTGGAGATAAAGATATTTCTCCCCACTCCCTCCTCTTACATGCTTAATTTCACCTACTGTGTGATTTACATATAAAATATTATTTCTCAGATTTTAAAGAGAGATTGTATATGATCAAAGTTTTAGTGATTATTGCAGTTTTAGTGATAACTTCAGAACTGTTAGATCAGTTGTCAAGAGAGTATCATATTTTACTGCTTTTCCCCTCTACCATAGGAACAATTTACGGCAATGAGAGATTTGTACATGAAAAATGGACAAGGCTTTGCGTTAGTCTACTCCATCACAGCACAGTCCACGTTTAATGATTTACAAGATCTTCGAGAACAGATTCTTCGAGTTAAAGACACTGACGATGTAAGATGACTTCCAAATATGTTACAGTTTTATTTTAAAATGTGATATGAATTATTTTTAAAATGTAGCGTCTTATAAAGTATAACCACTTTTTTGTTTATTTGCAGAGGATGTTAGCATTGGCATTTTTTAATGCCATTTCTTAAGACCAAGATAATGCCCTAGATCGCTTCCTGCCCCAGAATAAGGAATTTTGTAGCAGGTTCTTAGTAAAACCCAGAAGAATATAAGCCTTATTTTCTCTTAATTTAAGTGCAAATTTAAATAAATTTTTATACCACACAAGTCCTTTCTATAATCCTGAAGTTATAATTCAGTGTTCTAAAATAAAATTAACTTCCTAACCTTTTTAATAATGACTAAATTTTGAGGCTTAAATTCCAGGTGAACCGTTTTTCTCTTATAAAATTGATATAATGTAGTAAACTTAGGCATGATAGGAAGAGAGGAATAAATCTTGATGTCTTACCCTTCTGTAACAAACTTAAAAATACTAAAGGGCTCATCTATCACTGTGATGCCTTCTTGCACTTATTCTTTTTCCATGGTAAACATTTTGTTCAATTTAACAAGAGTTAGAGGTCTTCAGGTATAGTCAGTATAGTTCTAGACTTGAAGTCAAGAGATCTGAGTCCAAATATTGCATCCTCTTCTTGATAGTGTGACCCTGGGCAAGTCACCTGATCTCTCTGGGTTTTATTTCCTCATATGCAAATAGCACCTGCCTTATAGTTGTGAGAATCAAATATACATAAATCATTTTTCAAACGTTAAAATGCTGTGTAAATGCTATTTATTTCCATTGTTATTATATATAAAATGGGAAGTCAAGTTTTCTATATGATGGTTTGGTTTTCTTAAAACCCAAATCAGTTTAAATTTCCATTATGAGAGTACTTTCATGCTTCTTAACTTTGGTGTCATCTTTTGAAAATTTATTGTTAGGAGTATTTAAAGGAGAGGAGGCTTTAAAGACAGTATGAGCCAAAACCTAAGAGTTTAAACTGATTCAATTAAGTGCTGTAGACTTAACAGTGTAGGTTTTATTTAGATTGTCAAGACAGAAAGGTACTTAACTAACTCAAAGTATGGGAAATAATCCTTAGATTAACTCTTAGAATCTATTTGCTTAAAGTTTTACTTCCAGTGACATCAAGGTTTAATGGCCAAAATTTTCTGTTCTTTGCATGATGATGTTGCATGAAGAGCATTAGACTTGCAGAAGACTTGGGTTTAAATCCCATCTCTGCAAGATCAAAGGCAGATCCTCTAAACTCTGATGAACCTTGGTTTCCTTGACTTGCAAAATAAGGCAAATGCTTGGATGGAGTAATGGGCCTAGAGTAAGGAAAATGCCTCTTCCTCAGATACTTCATGGCTGTGTAACCCTGAGCAAATCACTTAACTCTGTTTGCCTTAGTTTCCTCATCTGTAAAATGAACTGGAGAAGGAAATGGCAAAACACGCCAGTATCTTTGCAAAGAAAACCCCGAATAGGGTCACAAAAAATCAGGCAAGACTGAAATGACTGAACCACAAATTATTTCATGTGGTCGTAGAGATTGAATGTCAGTAAACATTTTGTAAACCTTAAAAAGCACTGTATGTAAATTGCTGTTATTCATTTCATATTAGCATTGATTTCATTTTAATATGTTTCCCCGAAATGATTTGTGAATTGTTTTCCCCTTTTTAAAGAATCTAGCTAATTTTTGGTTAATTCATTTTTCTACATAAATGAATTATTGGATACTAAAGTTACATATAAGAACCGGTTTTGTTCTCCAGGAAATTAATTTGCTATCAAGTTATCACACCATTGTTTTTTGTTTTTCCGCATTTCTATACATTAAGTGTTAATTAATGACTTCATAGGCAAAAACAAGTTTAACATTAACTTTGTATATTTTTACTGAAAATTTACCTGGTGCAAATGCTTGTGTAGTTATTGATGTTGGCTCTGCTGTTATCATGAACATATATTTCGTGCTGTCACATCTCAAAATTGCAAGACTGTTAAAAAAAAAAAAAGTTGGGCATCTCTTCCCTACGCACTTCAGTGTTTTGTTTTTGTCTCTTCTAGCTGAAATGGTACAATTGAACCTTTTAAATTATTTATCTGGATAGGTCTGTAACTAAAGCATGAGGCACCTCTATGTGCAGAACATGGAGCATATGAGCCAGTTGAAATAAGACATTTAGATAAAATATCACCAGTGCTATAAAAGTTTGAAGTATAGTATTAGCTCCTGACATGTACAGCATTATAGACAATAAGTTATTGCCTGAAAGATATGAGTGAGATGTAATCTGAACTGAGTTGGGGGGAGGCTTATACGGTGTAATTACAAGTGGAGGGATTGCTTCCTGGAAGAAAAAACATTGAGAGTTAGTAGTGTTCATTGGAATCATCAAGCAGGAGCCTAGAAATATGTAAGTGGAACCACAAGAGTTGGGCTTGGCTGGAGCATGAAGTGCCTGGATGAGATTTGTTCTGAAGAGATAAGGCTGCGAAGTGCCTGAAAGGCCTTACTAAGGGCCTTTGAGGGGACTGTGACCAGATCTGTGAATAATAAAGTCATTAGCACTGGAGTAGGGGGGAAACAGGAAGGTGTGTTAGGAGGCTATTGAAATAGTCTGTGCACATGGTAGGAATGGCAGCCGTTGGTGGTATCAAAGCAGAAGATATAATAGATGGGAGATGTTGGGGTAAGATTGAAAGGGTTCCAGTGACTTAATAGGAGAGGGGAGGAAGAGGGAAGAGTTCACATTAAGGTTTCAAACATGAGATACTAGTGGTGCCAGTCATTAACAGTAAAAGAGAAATGGATTTATAGGGGGGGGAAAGTTTCTGTGGAAGGAAGGACACAAATCTTTATTAAATGCTTAATATGTTCTTAATATGCTTAATTAGGCACTGGAAAAACAAATAAGCATAAAAAAGGACAGCCCCTCACATTATAAAGGGGGAAAGCAACACAAACAGGAGCTGGAAAAGCAGTGTTGAGGATGTGCCCCACACTGGGGCATATTTTTCAAGTCGAGCCAGCCTGGACCTTTCCACAGAGTCCAGAAATAACTCAGGAATGGGAGTAAAGGGCAGGTCTTAAGAATGTTTCAGAGTGAGCTGGCCACATACTTGGATCGGCAAGGAGTCCCAGGCACAGAGGGAGGTTTCAGGGTTTGCCAGCACTAGAGAAGGCATCATTTTGAAGTCCAGAAAGTCAGAGAGGGTTAGGAGGAGAATAGAGATGAACTTTATGGAGAAAATGTTCAACATGAACAGGCCATAGTTGTGTTAAGATGTTCAAGGGTAAGGAGGTACCAGGAACTAAAGGAACTTCCAGGATGAGCCAGTAGTAGAGAAGATGTGGTTTTGACAAGTTGAACATGAGAATTCAATGGGAAGTCCAGGTGGAAGAGTCCTGTAGGAATTTGGAGGTACAGGTTTGCCAAGCAATTGAGCTAGAAATATTTGAGTCATTTAGCTAAAGGTATTGGTTAAAGCCATGGAAATAAAGGCTAAGTATTATGCCTTGGAATGTTCGTATTAAGGGGTCCAGAAAGAGGATGAAGAGATATATAACAAAACAAAGGATGGTGGTATCTTTGAAACTAAGATGGTAGGAGAGGTTCGTTCAATGGGGATAATAGGATTTTGAGATCATTAGGTCTGTAGCAACCCTTTGAGAAAGCAATTGCAGAAGAATGAAGGGGACAAAGAAAACCAAATTGGGGTTGAAGGAAGTGTTGAGAACAGCTTTTTCAGAAAGGTTCACTATGAAAAAGCGTAGAGAGTTTTGAAGATGGATAGAGTAAATAGTCAAAAGAGGGAGATGGAGCTAGAAGAGAGGAAGAGGTTTAGAATGCATGAGAGAAAAATGCTATGGTAATTTGTTCTAGTGGAGTTGGGAACAGATAGAATCAATGTTGCAAGTAGATGAGCCTTAATGAGGAGTAGAATTTTAAGTTCCTCATGTCCTGAGAAAGGAGGGAAGGAAAGTTAAGTCAATTAAGTGTCTCCTGTGTGCTCGCACCCAGGTAGATCTGGGGATGCAAAGAAAGGGGGTGGGAAGGGGATAATTCCTGCTCTCAGTGCTCTTGCTCTAAAAGGGAGAGGCCGTCATACAAATAGCAAAGTACAAACAAGATAAAGACAGTATAAAGTAGAGATAATCTCAGAGGGAAGTCACTGATGAGGAAGGAAAGAATTCTGGGCATGGGGGACAGCAAATGAAAATACCCAGATCTGGGATACACAGTGTCTTATAGGAAGAATAGCAAGAAGGCCAGTTGTCACTAGATTGCTAAGTACATAGAGAAGATTAAAGTGTAAGAGGACTGGGAAGGTAGGAAGGATCCAGGTTTTAAAGGCCAAACCGGATTTTATGTTTAATCCTGGAAGTTTTGGTGAGCAGAGCAGGGTTGACATGGTTTTAGACTTTGGCATTTTTAGGAAGATCAGTTTGACAGTTGAGTGGTTGGGCATACTGGAGTGGAAAGAGATTTGAGGCAGGGAGACCACCCAGCCATCTGTTGCAATAGCCTAGGTGTGAGATGATGGAGGTCTAGGTCATGGTGCTTCCAGTGTCAGAGGAGGAGTATACAGGAGATGTTACCAAGGTAAGGAGGACAACAGGACTTTGTACATGATTAGATATGGAGGGTGAGAGTGGAGTGTCTAGAATGACACCTGGGTTGCAAGCCTGGGTAACTTGGAGATTTATGGTGCCTTGGATACGTTAGGGAAGTTAAAAAGAGGAAAGGGTTTGGAGGGGAAAGCTGCTGAGTTCACTTTGGAGTATGTTGAGTTTAAGATGCCTGTGAAGTAATCAGGTTGAGATGTTCCATTAGGCAGTCGGAAACATAAGAAGGGAAGTCTGAGAGTCATCTGCATAGAGATGATAATTTAATCCATGGAAGTGAATGAGACACTTGAAATTAGTGGCCATTTAATGGATGCAGATCTAGTAAAGTTGACTGAGGAGTGTTCAAACAGG